CCGTTGATTGTCCCAGCTTCTGTCAACGTAGCAGTTTAAAAACATGTAAAAATGCAAGTAGAAAAATAGGGACCACCTTTGGTGGGAAGGTAACAGCGATCCATGCGCCTTCGGCGTTTAGTCATGCCAGCCACATGACCATGGAGACGTCTTCAGACAGCACTGGCTCTTCGGCTTCGAAACGGAGATGAGCACCGTCTCTAGAGTCGGGAATGACTAGCACATATGTGCAAGGGGAACCTTTACCTTTACCTTTAGGAATGTCTGGACTTCAAAAACAGTAGGTTGATAGGGAATACATGATGAAAAATGAGAAAACCAGACAAATTTGCTTATGGTATGAAATGAGTCCAGGTGGTGGAATTCACATGTTGAGTTGCAAAATCTATATTCCTTTTGGTGCAGAATTTATCTACTTTGCGTTCAAAGGGAAGGGCCAGATTTAACATTTCCTAAGCAATCTTAGAATGGAGAAACTGACCTGAGGGGCAGGTAGAAGATACTTCTCTGCTTCTGATATTTTACTCATTACTCATAGTTCGATCTCCTCTCACTGTTTTCTCTCTTTCTCCTCAAATAGGGCTATGCATCAGAAATGGAGAACCCTGATTTAATTCACTTGATCCCAGCTGGAGTTTTGAACAAGAAAGAAATTCTTTTTGGAAACCTCTCAGAAATCTATGAATTTCACAACAGGTTTGTGGTGGGACTTCGAATGCTGCTATAAAGAGTTTCTTTAAAGGACGTGTCTTTTAGAGGCCCTAAAACGGGGGTGTCAAACTCAATTTCATTGAGGGCTGCGTCAAGGTTGTGTTTGACCTCGGGGGCATGGGTGGGCATGGCCAGGGTGGATTGTAGCCACCTCAACGTCATTCATGTTGGGGGTGCCTGTGGTGGCCCGAGCACTATACCAGCGAAAACGGGCTCCCGAGCTCCGTTTTTGGCCGCGACAGCCTCCTGCAACCCTCTGCCAATAAAAATGGAGCTTGGGAAGGCTGCGGGCAGCCCTTGCAAGTTCTGTTTTCGGCACTGATGATGTTACCTAGTTTGGTAATGAAACATCTGCACGAAAACAACCGAGGACCCCATAGAACAGTGATGGAGAACCTTTTCACCACCAAGCGCCCAAACCGGAACGTTTGCGCATGTGCCTTCATGCGCACGCAGGAGCACCGGAAACTTGAAGACCAACTGGCTGGCACGTGTGTGCCTGTTTTTTGGCCATTTTCACTCTGTGATTGGGCCATTTTCCAGCTGTTTTCGGGCCCAAAACTGTCTGAAAAACAGGCTGGTTTTTTTGGCTGGTTTTGGCAGGTTTTCAGGCTGTTTTCGGGCACAGGTGCTCGCAATGACCGGCTGGAAACCATGTGCCCCGGAAACCAGAAGAGCAGCTGGTGATGGCACACATGCCCACAGAGAGGGCTCTGTGTGCCACCTCTGGCACTCGTGCCATAGGTTCGCCATAACGGCCATAGAACTTTATCTAAATGAGACAGCAGCAATCAACAGTCTTAAACAGCATCTCTGTCTTCCTCAGCCACACGACTTTCCTTAGTGGCCATTTTGCTGAAGCAATTGTGTTTGCTAAACGAGGAGCCTCTATATATATATTCTCCAAAGCCGTGCAGAAATTATCGAAATTATACCCCGCAGACCTCCGTTAATCTAACTTGTTAGGGGAGCTTGTAGGCTAAATTCAGGGGGGAGGGGACTCAGCTGAAGAGCCCCTTTTAAACTTCCGCTTCTGTTTTGTGTCCATTCTAGAATCTTCCTCAAAGAGCTGGAAAACTGCATAGAAAAACCTGAGCTTTTGGGTCGGTGCTTTTTAAAAAGGGTAGGTGAATCGCAGTGTTTCTTTTAATCTGGTTTCTTGACAGTGCTCTGACCAACTTCCTTTGACATCTATTCTTCTTCTCAGGCTGGGCTTTTAGTGGGCAGCCAAACGGGAAGTCATGTGAGGTTAAGAAACTTGCTTCGGCAGTTAACAAATAACCAAAAACATTAAAATGTCACCTTCCTTCCTTCCTTCTGGTTAGTTGACAGGAGGATGCTAGAGATTTTGTTGTCCCATATATTTCCATTTCCATCTTTCATTCTCTTCCCCTCCCCAAACCTGCCACCACTCCATGCCTTTTCTTACTGCACAACTTGAGAAACAAAAACAAGTAGTCCTTGATTTACAATTGCTCAGTGACCATTCAAACTTACGACGGACCCGGAAAAAGGGACTTGGAACCCAGATTCAAACTTCCAATGTTTGGGCTACCCCCACAGTCATGGGTGCTTAACACTTGGCCTGCATTTATGGACATTGGCAGCAGTGGTGGGTTCCAGATCCTAGTGCAACTGGTACGGTGCAACGGGGCTCGGCGTCCACCACATGAATGCGCGCAGCACACAGGAACAGCATGCGCATGCGTCCTTACCTCCTGCGACTCTCCGCAATGCTCCAGCTGCTTGGCAGAGCTTTGCACAGGCGCCGTACGCTCCGTGTGCAGAAGCGCCGCAGAGCTCAAATACAGATAAGGATGGCGGGCAGGCACATAGGCCCTCCGGAGCACCGTACCATAACAGTACCCGGTGTTTCAGCAGGCACCCGTTCTGGGGCGTACTGCTTGCAACTCACCACTGATTTGCAGTATCTTGCATCTCATATTGCAACGACTTGATTGAGGTCATTTTTGACTAGAAACTGATATTTACTTCCAGCTTCCAGCAAAAAAAAAAAAAAGAATGTCTCATAATCAGGGGTGATAATCACTCACCTTCCCTACTTGTTCACAAATGTGAGCCCACTCATTCGCTTAGCTCACACGCGCCCCATCTGCACCGGCGCTCAGTCTTCAGCGCATGTGCTTTGGCTAAAAAAAGGGCCTAAATGGAATGGCATAGCGCTGGGGTAGGTGGGCGGAGCCACCAATGATTTTCCGCTACTGAAGATCAACTCGGCTCGGAGAGAAACTAGGTGCTTGTTTCTCTTTTGTGTTTTGGATTTGTTTCTGAAACATTTCCTGAAGGCCGCCTATGGTTTGAGAATAATAGGATAACAGAGCTGGAAGGGATCTTGGAGGTCTTCTAGTCCAGTGGTCACCAACCAGGTGCCCATGAAAAAAATATTATGGTGGTCCTCATAAAAAAATATTTGCATTGTTATATTTTCACTAAATACTATTTATCTTTTTAAAAAATCATATTAGGGGTCTGCGGGATTTGAAGTTACGAATTTAGTGGTCCCTGAGGTCCGAAAGGTTGGTGACCCTTGTTCTAGTGTAACCCACTGCTCGGGCAGGAGACCCTCTAACATTTCAGACCAATGGTTGTCCAGTCTATTCTTAAAAATCTGCAGTAATGGAGCAATACGGTAGTTATCCAACATCTTCTTCAAAACTACCAGTATTGGAGCCTTCACAACTTCTGGAGGAAAGTCGTTCCACTGATGAATTTGTTCTGACTGTCAGGAAATTTTTCCTTAGTTCTAGGTTTGCGCTCTCCTTGGTTAATTACAATTAAAATTGTTCTGTGCATGCGCAGAAGTGAAAACCAAGATGGCGCCGCCGATGGTGCCAACTGGGGAACAGGTTTGGGGGCGTGGCAGACCTGGGTCGCTGCCGGTTCCAGTGACCCAGGCCGCCAAACCACTACCGGTTCAGCTGAACCGGTCTGAACTGGTAGGAAACCACCACTGGCGGGGTGGGAGGGGAGGGAAGGGGAGGGGCAGGGTGGGCAGGGCCAGCCAGGAGTGGGATTTGGTGTTTCTCCAAACCGGCCATAACATTAGCTACGGGTTATTCTAAACTGCTCAAAGTTAGTGCAACAGGAAGAAGCTGAGTTCAATGCAGAGATGTTATTAACTTCTTTTTTTTATTTCCTTTGTCTTAATATATTTTAGACTGTGTTTGTTAAAAATCTATACCGTGTACGGGCTCTGGGAAGTCGGGGGGGGAAGGGAGGTGGGGTGTTAGGGGGGAGGGGAGGATACATAGTATGTGTTAGATTTTAAGGTAAT